TCTGTAATATACGATAGTATACTACAGACACGCCCGGCTGATAGCCATATTGCCGGCTGGTACCCGCGATGTATTGTAGTATACTATAGTATACTACAGACAGGCCCGGCTGATAGCCGTATTGTCGGCTGCTAGCCGTGAAGTATCGTAGTATACTACAGTATACTACCGACAGGCTTGGCTGACACTCGTATTGCATGGTAGTATTGTATTACAGTTAAATAACCCCGGCTGGAAGCCGTGATCTATGCCGCGATGTATTGTAAGTATTGTATTAAAGTGTAAATACGGCTCGGCTGCTACTGTACCCTTGGCCGTGTACGATGGTGTACGTATAACTGTATATATACAATAAATTAACATATTTTCCGTGTAAGACGTGGTGGCGCAGAGGGACAAGACTCAGCGTGTGTGCTGAAGGTCGTGAGTTCGGTCCCGGAATGCGCGCAAACGAATTTGAATTTTTCTTTTTGCCGAAATTGTGTTTTTTTCTCGTTTATTTACCTGTCGCATAGCTAGCTATATGCATTGGGAAGATGAATTTAGATGCATTTCGATGATTTTCGGAAAATTTAATGTAATTTTGGTGGTTTTCTGCTTATGAAACATTCTAGAACCAGTCTCCGAAATGCGCGCATTTTTTGAACGAATAGTATACTATAGTACAGCCCGGCTGGCAGCCGAGCAATCGGAGACAAAATTTCCGGCTGTCAGCCGGCGTATATCTATGTCGGCATAGTTAATATAGAAGACCGGGTTTGGAAGGCTGGGTCACGTGACGAAATATGTTGGATTTTTGGTCACGTGGAACATATAGTGCATTGCAAGATCGTAAACAATGGCCATAGTAATTCTATACAATGAGTGTCGAATTACCATGACATGCGAAGCGAAAAAAGCTGTTGGTTTGGCGATTTTTTTACAATGCCTCGAGCCAATTGCTCAATATTTGGTTGTGGAACAAGCAGAAAGCATATTGGGCTCGGAATCTTTCGAATTCCGTCTGGCAAAGACGAATTATCAACTAGAGCTCGAGAGGCGTGGGTTAGGAAACATAATTACAAAGAATCGACATATGGACAAAAGTTTGCGTCCCTAACGTCGCTAGATCGATATTAAAGGCGAGCTGCATGTTTTCGAGAAACATCCCAAGATTGAAATACATTGATTGTCGTACGTGTATTCTTATTTTTTTCGTAAGCAATGAGTTAAAACTGTGCGAAAGAGGCAATAACGTGAGAACAACTTATATCTACCAGGCAGTAATAAGATTGCCCAAACCTTTACTGGACTATCATTTAAAGAGACTGTAAATTCAGTTGTTGAGTTGTTGCCCTGACAAGGTTTTTGTTCAGCGAAGGATTTGAGTTTGTGCTCACAGAACGGTTCTGCCAGGATGATGTTTAAGGGGCTGTTTACATGAGCCCGGTTTGCAGGGCTGGCTCGCTTAAACGGGGCGCCCGGCTTCATGGTAATTTCCAACACAAAGCAATTTTACTTTACATGACAAACAGGTGTGACGCGAAATTCCTGACTTGCGAAATATCTGACTATTGTAGAACTGCCCATGCGCAGACGATGCGCATGAATGACTTTGGCTCATAAATTTCGCAACTGAACAGACAACACGTGAACACGTGTATTTATAAAGCCATTTTATTTATACATAAATTTTCCAACCTTAATTCTACAATTGATCAACTGAATTGACACTATACCACTGATTGTGAACATTATAATAAACCTTGAATCGTAGATATGGAAAAATCACTCGAAAAGCGATCAGTTTCAAAGGTTATGCCGTATATGCATTACTATACTATAAGCACTAAAAATCGTTTCGCGTTTGACCTTCTCACTATTTAGTAAGCAGCAACGATGAGTTCGAAGTTCATGAGTTGGCCGTTTAGATTTGGCGATGTCTATGCTAGAAACATTTCGTAACATCGCATATGGACTTAAAAATCGTTTCGACCGACTGTATTTAGCAAACGTCGTGTATTTCGCGGTCACGACCACACAATTCGCTTTGAAATTTAAAGTGTTTGTGATTGAAACTTAGCGATGTCGATTTGAAATATTTAACGAAGTATTAGAAATTAACATCATGATTATTTTATCTAAACTCTAAAAAACAGTTTTGGCCGACTTAGAATTTAGCAAGCGTCATGTATTTCGCGCCTGTACGCGCGAAATTTCTGACCCGTCACGCTAGGTCAGGTATTTAGCAGAGGTCAGGAATTTCGCTTGACACCGGGCCAGCCCGTTTAGCTGGGATCCCACTTGACTCAAACGGGGCGCCCGGTCAGCCGGGATGAAATTTCTCCATGTAAAGTATCCAGCCCGGGCAACCGGGCTAGAACAAAAACTTCATTTAAAACAAAAATAAAAGACAGAAACTGATATTTTTCTTGACAAACTTTTATTTCTTCCATTAATTTTCCTGACAAAGTAGTTTTAATCGATTAAATTTGCCAATAAAGCACAAATTCGACTTCCGTGACAGACGTTACACTGTTAACTCGTAAACAAGTTTTTCCCGCTAATTAAATTTAGAGAATTTACATGCTGTTATAAAACAAATGAGCTAAAGCTCATTATAATTTTGCTTGATCTAGCTATGCATGATATAACTTTGAAGCAATTTAGTGCTGACACCAATATGTACGTCATGCCACAAAAATGATCTAATAGTTTACCTTGTTAAGAATTTTCAAAATTAACAGTACCTTAGAAGTGCTTAACCCATTAAACACCAACACTCTACCCTTGACAAATAAAATTGTCTGGTGTTAAACAGAGTAAAATAGTCTGGCATTAGACAGAGTAAAGTAGGGCCCATCAGGGCACAATGTTACTCAATGGGTTAAGTAAGTCATATCAGTGCTAAACAATAAATTGCAATGCAATGTGGGAAACATGCAGGACAAAATATACCTTATATTGATTCAAAATTGTGTGATATAAGCACTTTTAAGGTCTATTACCACTCCCATGAAGTGCTACAGTATATTAGTAAGATTACACTTCATTATGATTGGCTTTAACAGCAATATTTGCCCTGAATCAGTTAGCTTGGGGAGGATTGCTTATAAGCTGACCACAGTGAAAGGTGGTGTAGCACTTCACAAGGAGTGTTAAATACTCATTCCTATCCAATCAGTATTTAAGTGTATCTCTTTCAAATAATGCTAGATTTACTCCATAATAATACCCTTTAATTAATTAAACTGAAATGTAGTAGTGAATTAGTGTACATATTTTTTCATCACTATATAAATATTTACAATTAAAACCTACTAAAAAATATTTACATTTAGCATTCAGTTGCAATAAATATTTTAGTAACAATGTCTCGACCAACCTTGTATCCAGGATCTTTTCTTTTGGGGAGAAAAGACCCTGGTAGATGCTTGTCACATGAAGTGCTAAAATCTCATAAAATTTAGAAGATTTTTAATTAACTATATTGGACTCCTTTACTTACGAGATTCATACAAAATACATCTATCATAAAATTATCATCATAAAATTAATTAAACTATAAAAATCATCCAAACATCAAATATTTATAAACCTCAGGTTGGATTGCTAATTAGAAACCTGCTAGATTTCAGTAGATCATGTGATCATGCACTTCAAATCTGTCATACCATGTGTGACAGTGACTGGTTATGGTTTTTCAATACCCTAGATTATATTTAAGCTGGACATTTGGTCAAATGCAATAACATTTTAAAGATGTGACCTTAAAAAAACTAATGTACTTCTTTGGTGGCAAAAGGGTTCAAGGAATACATTTAATATTGATTAATTACATCACTTCACTAGTCACACATTATTTACAGTATCTTTGGCAAATGAAAAACATCTAACAGTAACATATAACTTTACAATATTTTCTAAACACAGGGATTGACATTCTTTAGAGATTTCCATATCATAATTTGCAATAATATTGCACCACAAGCTTTTCACAAGGGAAGAAACCAAAACTTCATTCACTATTTTGTCTACTGGGAGACAAGTGAACTTGTCTTTTACTAAAAACTAACTCACTAACTTCCATTACACTTACAAGCCATAAATGAGGTGACCAAAGGCCACCACAACGATTAAATGTACTCATTGTCCTTTGTTGCAGTTCGCATTGAATACATCAAGGCTTGAATTTCTTTGTTTCTCTGGGAGTGCCACCTGGAACAATTCTTGCTTTTTCGATACAAAGATCTTATCATGAGTTCATAACCAGCCAAATAGGTCAATGGCCAAGCTCTTGTGATGATACAGAAACTTCTTCCTAAAATAAGTTAATAAAAATACAATAAATGCTAATACACTGGGTAAATTGAGCTACTATATTTCTACCCAGGGATATTACCCTGGTCCATTACCTTTTGGAAACCAAGATGGTCGTGGGTACAGGGTAGTTGTATTTTAAAATTATTAAATAATTTGAGGGAACTTTATATAGGTTTGACCAGTATTATATATTATACAATTTATAGACCTTATTGAAATACACTACCTCCAGACATACACCATCTAGCTAGCTGGGTCAAACTGATAAATATAACTATGTCAGAAACTCAGAAAACAATTACCTCAGAGTCAAATGGTTGCGCAATACATGTCAACAAACGCTCTGGGAGATGAATTAGGATGAAAAACATAATCTTCTTGTTAGGATAAGGATGAAAATATTGTTGCCAATGGGCGTTTGTATTGCCATAAAACTCCTTTAGACAGTGTTCTTTGCTCTTCTTTCTTTTAATTTATAATATAAAGTTTCAGAAGGATATTGATGTTTTGTTAGACCACCCTTTGACTTGCAAATTTTCTCACAAAAGTCGCAAGGGAATTGCTTATTTCCTTCAACCTAGATTCAAGTTAAATTATAGGTGAGGTTATTGAAAAGGCACGGCTTACTTTTATAAGTTATTTTGATATTTTAACTCACCTCTTCATGCGAATTTTGAACCTCGATCATCACCACCTCGAAGTCCATATCAAGCATCATATGATGACGGATTTGGTATTCTATTTTTTACCCTGCCATGTTTGTCAGGCCCTGACACCCTGACACCTCTAATTAGGGCCTGAATTTCAGGTTATGACCCCTTATGACCTTCGGTAATATCACATGCAATATGGCGTCGATGCAACGCGATAAAAAAAGTTAAAAATTGATCCAAATGCGCTTTGTTCACATGTCAGCGATTCGCTTTATGAAGCAAATTGTTTAAAAAACAAAATTGCTAAAATCTCGTCCATAAATGTGGGAATGACAGCTGACAGTCAGTTGGTTGAAGTCTTTTTGATTTGCCGGTTTGGGCTTTATAATATAGTACAGGAGGTGGTCTCTATGCTATCGTCTGCGAGGTTTTTGCCTGAAAGCGTGGTTATTTCGAAGGTCGCTCGCATTCTCGGGATATGTGAACCAGGTGTCAAGAATGTAATTCATTTGTTTGAAAAAGCAGAGAGTTTTAACGGCAGTATTAATACCAGTAAAAACGAAGAATTAAATGTCATCTTAACACCGTAAACTTCAATCTGCTTCGAATGTCAACAGCAGTTAGTTGTAAACCATGCCCCAACAGAAGCTCGGATTTACACTCTGAAAGGTTTTGTTAACGGATAAAAATGGTCCCTTCGCTGTAATGGATGCAAGTCTACATACAATTACAGCAAGTATGGTTCACGCAATGGCTGGAAAATGTACCCAAATCACTATAATAAAAATCAGAGAACTCTAGTCGAATCGTCAGATTGTTGTTTTTTGGAGCGTGACGTTTTCAATTGGATGACTTCGTTGAGGTAAGTTCATTATTTATTGCTGCCGAAGGCAGCGTTTATACTCACAGTAGGAAAAACTTCACTAACATCTCATGTATGGCCGGATCGTGGATTGATTCAAAATTCAGGCGATAAAGTTACAAAACTAGGAGTTGGCTTTTATATGCTCTTCGAATAATTCCGTTTTCATTCGTGTATTACCACAACTTGTTGGTCTCATGGGTGCCAAAATCGACATATACGTAAACCGGTAACCATAAACATGCTACTGCGTGATAGTGATTTCGAAGGAACTTTGTCACATATATTTTAAAAAGTGGGATAAATATAAATGAATCAAAATTTGTTTTTGCAACCCCAAATAGGTTATCATGACAGCAGCAAAAACCCCATCATGACAGCAGCAAAAATTGCACCTGAAATAGCAGCAAAATTGCAAGCGTAAACGGGCCTTAAGCCAAGGTTTACAGTTTAGGGTTTGCAAAGGACAACATTTATTGCATTGGCTCATGTATACATACACATGGTTCAGTTCAAATTACAATACAGTTCAGTACAGTACAATACTGTTCAATCTTTATTAGCATATATTAAATGGTGTTGCCATACAAACATAATATTTATATGCTAGACTGTCTAGACAGCATATGTTCAATAAAAATAAACAATAAAAATATCAATATAGTACAAGTATGCGACTATAAAAATATATAATTGAATTACAGACTAGCATGTACTTTTAAGCTGCTAAATTGCTAATATATTTCTGAGCATATAGTATATGCTATTAGATAAGCAGGTATAAAAGGTTGTTGGTGCCCTGGCTTCGCCTAACAGAAAGGATGTAATCAAATCCTGATTGAGTATAAAGTGGTGTCGGAGGCTGGGGGGGGGGGGCACTTTTTTAGTTGGGTGGCCATTTTGTCTTTGGAGTTTCGACCCCTTAATTTTTAACAATGGTCAATAATAAACCTCAAAGTTAATTGATTTTATTTCAGTTATGCGTGTAGACAAAACAATTTGAGATATTTTATGACGTTTTGTAACCTTTAGAACTCTGTAAATCTCCTTAAATATCCTTCTAAAGTACAGGAAATGGCATTTCAGTGACTCTAGTTTTAATATTTCAGAGACTCTAGTTTTAAAATGTTTATGTCGCCCGCCTTTGGCAGGCGCTAAGCCCCCCCCCCCCACTTTTAGACCTGCTCCGACGCCCCTGTGAGTATATATTGATCAGTATTGGTATTATTTTAAGCTGAAGACTGACCTCATATGCTAATATTTTTATCCAAGTGTAAATAAGTATAGGTTATTTTGAAGCAACAAGGGGATATGTGATTTATTTACCGAGGCATGCAGTGCCTCTGCCATCCAGAAGGGGAGGGGAGAAAAAATTTCTGCCGTCCAGAGGGGGAGGGGAGAAAAAATTGTTTCTGACAATAGTAAATGTATGAGGACATCCGAAGGGGGTAGGATAGCCTGCGAACAGGCTCTCAAGCTGAATTGAGAGTCTGCATCGATGACTAATGAATTTGAATATCTGCGTCTCAAATCGTGACGCGAAATTCTCATTGGTCAGATGCTATAATTTGTATTATTCCGCTGAGCTCTATATATGTCAACTGCTAGCACTATGCATAAAAA